CCATTCCAGAAGTACTGTACTACTCCAGAAAAAGAGGAAAACGAAGAGGCAAAGGATGCGAAGACACCTTACCTAAATCATTGTTGCACAAAATGGATATATCTTTGATGCCCCTAAAGAAGAATTTGGCTCATAGAAGACATGGCAAACTTTGTGTTTCCAACGGTGATTCGGGTTCGAGGGGCACTGGAAAAGGTAAAGAGAAGACAAGGGACTTATTTCTCATTAATGAAGATAATTAGCTGGAATATTCGAGGTCTGGGGAGTAGAAGGAAAAGATTACTTGTAAAAGAGCATCTACGGAGGTTCAAACCAGATATAGTAATTCTGTTGGAAACTAAAAAGGAGATGGTGGACAGACAACTGGTGGAAAGTGTTTGGGGATCAAGATTCAAGGGATGGGTCTTCTCTCCTTCCATGGGAAGGTCTGGTGGAATAGTAGTTATGTGGAATTCCCAATCTGTTTCGGTAATTGATTCTCTGATTGGTGAATTCTCGGTTTCCATTAAAATTGTTGAGAGTATTGGGACGGAATGGTGGCTATCTGGGATTTATGGTCCATGCAGACAAAGGGAACGAAACAGTTTCTGGAATGAATTGGTGGATCTGTACGGGTATTGCGGCGTCAACTGGTGTCTCGGAGGCGATTTTAACGTGGTCCGCTTCACAGCTGAAAAGTCGAATGGCGGAAGAGTGACTAAAAGCATGCGAGAATTTAATGACTTTATCCAAGATACAAATCTACGGGATCCAAACCTTCTCAATAGTTCTTTCACTTGGTCTAATCTAAGAGAGAATGCAATCTGCAGAAGACTTGACAGATTTCTGGTGTCGGGCAGCTGGGAAGATTATTTTCCTCATTACCATTTTGGTGCAGCTGTATCTACGCAACAATACTTCTAAGGTGAAATGGGGCCCTTCGCCGTTCCGGTTCGAAAACATGTGGTTGAATCACCCGGATTTTAAGAGGAATATCAAGTTGTGGTGGGGTGAGGACCAGATTTCAGGATGGGAGGGATACAAGTTCATGACAAGGTTAAAATTGATAAAGTTGAAATTGAAAGATTGGAGCAAAGTGGAATTTGGGGAAGTAGAGCTACACTTAAGGGAGGCTGAAGCTAGATTATTGGTGCTGGATCAACAAGAAGGGAGAGAAGGATTGGACCATTTTTTGAGGATCGAGAGAGAAAATCTTCTTCTAAAGATCGGAGATTTGGCCCAAAAGGAGGAAGTCAAGTGGCGACAAAGAGGAAAGGTAAAATGGGCTAGAGAAGGTGATGGAAATACTAAATTCTTTCACAAAGTGGCAAATGGAGTCAGGAAAAGAAACTTCATAGATAAATTAGAAGTGGAGGGATTGGGTGTAATAGAAGACGAAGACAACATTGAAAAGGAAGTGCTTCATTTCTTTAAAAAATTATATAGCAGCAACAGAAATCGAGGATGGGGAGTAGAAGGACTAAATTGGTGTCCTATTAGTCAATTGGAGGCTGATTGGCTTGAACGCCCATTCGAATTGGAGGAAGTTTATAAAGCAGTTTTTGATTGTGGCAAGGATAAATCCCCGGGCCCAGACGGTTATTCTATGAGTTTTTTCCAATCTTGCTGGGAGATGGTCAAGGGCGACCTTATGAAGGTTATGCAAGATTTTTTCCATAGTGGGATTGTGAACGAGGCTACAAATGAAACCTTCATTTGTATCATTCCTAAAAAGGTGAATTCTGTGAAGGTTACTGACTATACACCGATTAGTCTTATTACGAGCCTATATAAAGTAATCTCCAAGGTTTTGGCTTCAAGACTGAGAGAGCTTCTTGGAGATACAATCTCTCAATCTCAGGGAGCTTTTGTCCAAAAGAGACAAATTCTAGATGCAGTATTAGTCGCGAATGAAGTTGTAGAGGAAGTCAGAAAACAGAAGAGAAAAGGGCTAGTGTTCAAAATAGATTTCAAGAAAGCTTATGATCATGTGGAATGGAATTTTTTAGATGATGTACAGGAAAGAAAAGGTTTTGGAGCCAAATGGAGAAGTTGGATTAAAGGATGCTTGGAATCTGTCAACTTTTCTGTCATGATCAATGGAAAACCAAGAGGAAAATTTAGGGCGTCGAGGGGAATAAGACAAGGGGACCCCCTATCACCATTCCTATTTACCTTGGTTAGTGATGTATTAAGCAGATTAATAGAAAGGGCTGCAGAAACTAACATAGTACATGGTATAGTAACTGGGCATGATCAAGTGGAAGTGTCTCACCTTCAGTTTGCAGACGATACCATTTTCCTTTTGGATGGTAAGGAAGAGTATTGGCTAAATCTGCTAGAGCTGTTGAAGTTGTTTTGTGATGTGTCCGAAATGAAGATTAATAAAGCTAAAAGTAGCATCTTTGGGATCAATTTTAATACCGAAGCACTAAATAGAATGGCGGACAGGTGGGGTTGTGAGGTAGGTTGCTGGCCTATGGTGTATTTGGGTCTTCCTCTTGGAGGAAACCCAAGAACTCTTCATTTCTGGAACCCAGTAATGGACAAGGTGGAGAAAAGACTGCAAAAATGGAAGAGGGCTTGTTTATCCAAAGGTGGAAGGTTAACGCTAATCCAAGCGGTGTTGAGTAGCATTCCTTCTTATTATATGTCATTATTCAAGATGCCTATAGGAGTGGCTGCCAAATTGGAACAACTGATGCGTAATTTTTTATGGGAAGGCATAGAAGAAGGGAAGAATTGCCACTTGGTGAGGTGGGAAAGGGTGATTAGATCAAAGGAGGCAGGTGGTCTCGGAATTGGCTCTTTAAGAGAAAGAAATGAAGCCCTCAGAGCTAAGTGGTTGTGGAGATTTCCACTGGAATCCAATTCCTTATGGCATAGGATCATTAAGAGCAAGTACGGAATCGACTCCAACGGGTGGGATACTAAAAAGTTAGCTAATGTGTCATGTAGGAATCCTTGGCGAGAAATTTCAAAAGGTTATAATTCTTTCCTTCTTTGCTGCAGATTTTCTGTTGGAAATGGAGAGAAAATCAGATTCTGGGAGGACTTTTGGTTGAAAGAAGGGATACTGAAAAATTTGTTTCCTAGACTCTTTTCCTTGTCTAGGAAAACAAATCATAGCATATCCCGTTTTGTGAACACTCAAGAACTACCTCTTAATTGGGACTTTGATTTCAGAAGAAACTTGTCCGAGGCTGAAATTGCAGAAGTGGTAATACTTTTGGATATTTTGGGAAAGGTGAGATTAAGTAGCTCTAGATTGGATCGGAGATCTTGGGAGATTGAGGAGCAGGGTTTGTTTTCGTGCAAGTCTTTCAGATCTTTTCTTCTCTCTACTTCCAGGGATGTCTTTCCCCCCTTCCTCTCAATCTGGAAGGCAAAGACACCTCCGAAAATTCAATTCTTTTTGTGGCTGGCAGCAAATGGTAAGGTTAATACTTGCGACATCATTCAAAGGAGACATCCAAAGAAGTGTTTATCCCCTTCTTGGTGTGTTCTTTGTAAAATGAATGAAGAAAACATAGATCACCTGTTCATTCATTGTTCGTACTCCCTAAAATTATGGTGGAGGATGTTGGAGGTTCTTGGAGCGGAGTGGGTGACTCCTAAGGGGTGTCTTGAGTTCCTTAGTATCAAGTTCGTGGTTTTGGGGAAGGGAAAGAGAGCTGGGATCCTGCGTGACTGTCTTGTTCACGCTATATTCTGGAACATTTGGATGGAGCGCAATCGAAGAATCTTTCAGGGTCACTTAGGAGTAAGGGCTGAGGAGTTATGGGATAGAGTTAAATTCTGGGCTTCTCTTTGGGCATCGGGTTCTAGGCAGTTCAAGAATTATCATTACTCTATCATCTTGAGAGACATGGCTGCTGTCTTAAGATAATGTTACATAAAGTCTTGTTTTATTCCTATAGTTTTATCTTCAGTCATAGCTGGCTAGATTGTCTTTAGTTGTTCTGGAGTTTCCCTTTTCATTGTTTAATCGAGGTTTTTTTCCTCTTGATTATCAATACAACGTTTCTATTAAAAAAAAAAAAAAAAGTGCCGAACCATTTTTGTGGATGTCATGTGACTGCATTCCAGTACCATGCAATAATTTCACCCCAAATTGAAAGACAAGTGGAGTGGGGTTTAAATTCTCCCACTTTTTGCACATATGGCAACTGAAGGAGACAAATTTTTGGAATCTGATATTGCCGTCTACTTGAATTTTGTTTGGGAAAACATTCCTGGTAGTCCTCATTTAGCATCAATAACAACTGTTGAGTTCACATTCTACAGGCAGCGTCTGATAAATCCCATCTCTTCATCGTGGTTTAAAATAATCCTCTCAAATTACTCCTGCAGATGCATGTCCAACTGCTCAGAAGTACAATCAGTAACTCAGACTGAGAGGTCACAATTTTTTATTTTTTATTTATTTTGGAAAAGAAACTTGTATTAACAGGTGAAATAAGTACAGAACGAGATGGACAAGAAGCCCATCAGCAGGATAAAAAACCAGACTCCCCAAAGATTAGAAGATTATGTTTAAAACATAAATCACAAAGAGAAATAAATTACACATGAGAAAAGATAAACCACACTGTTGTTAGTTACAATTTCATACGTAAAAAGAATAAGATAAATTACAACATAAATCACAAAGAGAAATTAAAAAAAGATAAATAGATGGAACCCGTAATCTCAATAGAGAAAAGAAATTAGATAACTCACAAAGTTCTATAATCTATAGAGCCCGGGTAATGTCAAAAGCAGTAAGTGAACAAACCAGAGACCGACAACCTAACTCGAAAATCATCAGACATGATCATTTTCCTTCACTCTCTGGCTCTTTGTAAAAGGACTGATTTGGGTAGAGACAGTTAAGGTACATGTACTAAGCCACCAAACAGAGTACAAAGAAGAACCACATGTCATGGGAAACTATTTGAATAAGGATTACGGAGGAGAAATAGTTCTGCTAATTAAATAACCACACAACTTCTATAAAAACATGCATCGTATTGTGAATTCTCTGTCAAGGTTCAGCACAGGACTTAAAAAACATATCGTTATTTATTTAGGGTGTTTCTAACAGTTGAAAAAATGAATAACACATAAATCTAAACACTCCATCTAATCAATCTTGCCGGTATGAACTTAATATTATCATGCTGAAAAATAAGTCTTAATCAACTTTTGTAACATAGAAAATATTCCTGTAAGTCTGAGAGTTTTTATTATTTTATCATCTTTGTTAAGACAAATTCATTGGTAAAGAATTAGTTTTAATGATTAATAATGTACACAATAGATAACAGAAACAAAGACAATAGTTTTGTATCATCCCTATTTGCTAAATCTGTGAACAACAACCTTAGAGTTCCAAGATTGTCGAACACACCATGGAAAATATCAACAAAAAGGCAATCTGTCCAGATAGTCTTGCCCATACATCATACATGTGGCAATGGATTTGTAGTAAGTCACCAAACAGAGTACAAAGAAGAAGAAATTAATTGAAACTAGCATGTATCACTATAACTTTAGGGTTTCTGTTTTTCCTCAGCAGTTGATAAAAAAAAAAAAAATTCACACAAATCTAAATGCTCCATCTAGACTATCTTACCAAGGTATGAAATATATTATCATGCGGCAAAACTTGTATGAACTTTGCAACTGTGTAATGTCTAGTAAATGTCAGACACTGCACCAGTGACTTCAATGAAAACAAATCAAATGAGTAGCTTCGTACGCTCTGTTGGATGAAACCTGTTCCGGTACATCACTTCTAACCATCTCCTTGCCTCAGAAGTCCTCCCATGTTTAAGAAAACCTTGTACTAAGGTGTCATAAGTCCACCGGTTAGGCTCATACCCTTTCTGGCACATCTTATTGAACAATGCACAAGCACGGTCCATATTGGTCTCGCTTAGTCTTCTCAGCAACAAATTGTATGTGTATACATCTAGCGGAAAGCACTTTTCAATTACTTCTTCCAAATTCTCAATATCTTGGCTCAACCTGACACGACCAGAAAATGCACCAATAAGCAGACCAAGCATTGAACTATCAGACTTCTCATTTGGCACCTGTCTCAGTTGAACCCAAGCCTCGTAGAGCTCTTGACTTTTCAGAGAATGCAACAGAAGTATGTTACCAGTAAAGGATGTAATATGGCGGCCAACTTTCTCCAAGTCATTAATGAGATTTACTGCTAAATGATATCCTTGATTCCAGCACAACAACTGTATAAGAAACTCATAACAGTCATCGCTTGGAACCACTCCCTTCTCTCTCATTTCCTTCAAGAAGTCAAGTGCAATATCCGCCCTTTTGACCTTGCAGAGACCAACAATCATTGTGCTGTATAATCTTCTCCCCATCTCTCTTCTCTGGTGCAGATCATTGAAGAAGTTCAAAGCATCCGAAATTCGTTCACTCCTCAAATAACTCTGCAACATAAGAACATCAGATCTCAGATTGGGCTCAATCCCACTTCGCTGCATCGTCTCATATACTTGTCTAGCCAGATCGGGCCTTTTCGCATGCCCAGCTCCATAGATGAAAAAGTTGTAAATTTGACAACTAGGTTCCCGACAACACAACTGCAGCTCTAACAAATTAAAAAATTGCTTATCTGGATTTTCCATATCACATAGACAGCAAATTACACCTCTGAACAGGTTACGAGTCGGTGAGTGACCCTTTTCTTGCATTTCAATCAGAAGTCTAGCAGCAATATCACCCCTACTTGACTGGTTAAAACCATGTATCAAGTTAAAGTATGTACTCTTTCTAGCAACTTTATTTATTCTGTTGAGTTCCCCGTGTATTAAATAACCATCTTCTACCCTCTTAGTTCTACACAGAGTTGTAATGAACTTATCATATGTGTAACCACTTGGCATAAAGTTCCGCTCTAGCGCAAAAATAACCAACTCCTTCATCTTATCGAGCTTTCCCTCTCTGCACAAAGCATCTGCAAGTATAGAAAATGTTTTTCTACCCGGAAAATAACCTTGTTCCATAGAATTCTTCAACACTCTATATGCTTCGTCCACGCTGCCATCCCCACAGAAAGTATTGATCAAATAGTTGTAAGCCATACTACTAGGAGAGAACCCAAACTCAGATTTTGAATTATACAACTCAAGAGCAATATCAACCATTCCTGCTTTGCAAAAGAAGCACAAGGCAGCATTCATGGTGACCTTATCAGGGCAAATCTGACCATCCTTCATCTCCATCAACAAATCACAAACCTCCTCAAGCCGATCCTCCCTCAAAAGCCTACATATCAAAGTATTGTACCTAAAAGTATCAGGCACATACCCTTCCAATGACCTCTTGTTATGCAGAAACTCCAACGCCCCATCTAACCTCCCAGCATGAACAAGATCACGTATCCACACACCATAGGCACTCTCCATGAGTTCCACCCCAGCGCCCTTAAACTCCTCCACCAACTTCCCAGCCTGCTCGAACTTATTATTCTTACAAAGGGCATCCACAAGAACACTCACGGCATGCCCATTGACGGCCCTCCCGTCAGACAACATTTTACGCAAATACTTTTCAGCATCATCCAGCAAGTTCTGCTTACAATACCACTTGAGCATGATGGAATGAGTGATCTCGTTCTCAAAACCCCTCAAAGAAATCTGCTTGGCAATGACCTGAACAGCATCAAAACAATTCTCTTCCACCAAAGCATTCAAAAGAACATGGTAAGCAAACACATCCAGGTCAAGCCCCTGAAAGCGCATTTTACCAAACAGTTGGAGTGCAATGTCGGGTTTGCCAGCCACGGCATAACCCATCACCAAAGTGTCCTGAAATCGAACCGAATGCGCATACCTCTGCTTCCTGTAGGTGGACAGGAAATCAAGCATCAGTGACATGAGCTTGGCGCGAGAAAGAATCTTGAAAATGGCGTTGAAGGTCGCGCGGGTGTGGTTAAAGCCGTGCTGGCGGCCGACCCAGTCGAAGAACTTGAGACAGGATAGGACGTCGTGGCCGCTGCTGCCATAGCGGAGCACCTCCAAGACGAAGGTCTCAGAGAGGCGGAGGTTCAGATGGGCAAGCGCCGAGTCGGCGGAGGAGCGGTGGTGATAGTGAAACGACACGCCGTTGGAGTTGTCGAGGTCGAGGACGGTGTTGTCGTCTTCGGTGGTCTTGAGGATCTGGAAGATGCGGTCGATCAACGCGTCGTTGCGGCTCTTGAACCATTCTTTGAAAGAGAGGACGACGTCCTTGGCTTGGATCAAGCAGGCGGTTGATGTCGTTGAAAACGCAGCACTAGGGCTAAAACAGTAAGAAGAAGGTGAGCAGGGACCGGAGCTTACAAAACCATTGGCATTGAGAAAGGAAAAGACATAGTGGTAGTTGGTGCTTGCCCTAGATTTGGATAAATTTCTCAGAGAAAAAAACATATTATCATCAAGAAGAACTAGGGTTTTGGAGGAGGAGGATGGTTCTTTTCAATTCGAGGGCTTTGGCATGAGGAGATGAGGATTTGGGATTATTTGGGTTCAGCCATAGTTTCGAAACCCCTCTAGTTTCCGAACCCAGACAGTGAGCTTGCAGCAGCCACAGTTGCGACTCGCAATAGTCTGAGAGTACATACAATAGTCTGCTTAACGCCGTAATTGACATGTATGCACCGGCAATTACCAACATGCCACTGGTTCAAAAATCTATGCTGGTGTACCACTTAGGATAGAAACTCTCATGCAATGGGATAATGCATTTTGTTATCCCAACCAATAATGTGCTGACACGTAAAATAACTTTTTCACATGTCATTATGTTATTGATCGGGGATAGCAAAGCAAAACAGTGCTATCCCATTCAAGTAAGTGATTTTTGCCATTCTAGGAATGGTAAAAATTCTCGCCGGGTGTCAAGGCTAGTTCATTGATTTTGGAGGTCTTGGGCAAAAATGAAAAATGAGGCCTTTTTTGTTTAACACTTATCTCATTTTGAACAAAAATTATAATAAAAAGTTTCAAACTTAGGTCGTAAGTAGGTTAGTTTAAGTAAAAATAAAAGCTCATTATACAAAAGATAAAGAAAAAGGCCCAAAAAAAAGTTCAAAATAAAGCCCAAAAAGCATTAGTTTCACACATAAAAGGCCTTTTTTGCTAGTATACTTATTGGCTTGGAGGTGTGTAGGAGGTCCCATTGTTTTGGGGGCATGTGTCGTCGCCCATCCCTCACACCCTATGGGTCAGGCCCATCAGGTGTTCGAACCGGGTATGGGGATCCTGAATTTTAAAAATCCCCTGTCAGGTACTGGCCGGGATGATATTGTTATTCTCATTCCCAAACCCGACCCCATGATTGAGATATGTATTTTAAAGTAATTTACATTTAATATAACTATGTATGTGTTTACCCGTTTTGATTTGTCTCCTGTGATGGTAGGGTAAAATTCCTCATTGCCTTGAAAACCATTAACTGGTCAACAAGTCAACTTTCTTTAGTGTGCGAGCGTGCCACTACTAGTAATGAAAAATTCTAGCAGACCTTTTGAAATAGACAACTTGCGCCCCAAGTCATTGATTTCTAAACAAACGATTGTGAATTTGGGTGAGGAATATCTCTCAAGTAAGTTCTTTTCTTGCCTCAGACTGGTAAGGACTTCATAATTTTTCATAGTACAAAACTGGTAGTTCTGGCCAGAATAAATGATAAGAAAGTGAACTGTTTTCAGGCAGAATTCTCCTTAACAAAGCTCAAAAGGGAAAAACTGACTCTAGAAAGACGAAAAGAAGGCTAGACTTCCATTTCTGTCTGGGTAGATACTTCTGATCCGGGCTGGATTGGGGATGCCTGTGCTAGACTGGAGTTATTCTCATTCCCAAACCCGACCCCATGATTGAGATATGTATTTTAAAGTAATTTACATTTAATATAACTATGTATGTGTTCACCCGTTTTGATTTGTCTCCTGTGATGGTAGGGTAAAATTCCTCATTGCCTTGAAAACCATTAACTGGTCAACAAGTCAACTTTCTTTAGTGTGTGAGCGTGCCACTACTAGTAATGAAAAATTCTAGCAGACCTTTTGAAATAGACAACTTGCGCCCAAGTCATTGATTTCTAAACAAACGATTGTGAATTTGGGTGAGGAATATCTCTCAAGTAAGTTCTTTTCTTGCCTCAGACTGGTAATGACTTCATAATTTTTCACAGTACAAAACTGGTAGTTCTGGCCATAATAAATGATAAGAAAGTGAACTGTTTTCAGACAGAATTCTCCTTAACAAAGCTCAAAAGGGAAAAACTGACTCTAGAAAGACGAAAAGAAGGCTAGACTTCCATTTGTCTGGGTAGATACTTCTGATCCGGGCTGGATTGGGTATGCCTGTGCTAGACTGGACTGTCAACAACTTCAACTGCTAAGCTTCAGCTGTAAATCGATACCAAAGTTTGAGTTTGGCAAAGCTTTAATCTATTTCAAACCCTGGAAGGCTTTTTGAACGGGCAGAACTGGGGGCTCTTTAGTCTGAAAGGGGCAGAAGTGGCTGGACTTGAGGATTACTGAGTTGGAACTGCACTGTGGTACCTGTTCGGCTTAGTCAGGGCTCTCCATAAATTTGTTGAGGTTTTCGTATTTGTAAAAACCCAAACTCTGCTTGTTTTGGCTTTTGCTGAACCAAATTTGTAACGAGAGCAATCTCATTTTGAATGACTTTTTCTAAGTCTGAAACTGGAGGTTTCGATTTGGAGTTGGCTTCTTTCTTGCGGCTTAATGAGCTTTTGGTTGCTTCAGTTTGTCTGAAGGTTCTTTGAGATCAAGTGATCATTTTGAGTCTTTGTCTTTTTGACTGATTTTTGGTTGTTTGATTGATTGTCCTTTGATATGTTCATCTCCTCTCATATTTATAGAAAAAATGCTGAAGTGGGTTTTTAATCTTTTAAAAATGGGCGGCAGATATTTCTAAAACATTTCTATTTTTTAAGTGTCAAAAAGGGAAGTTATCCTTTTTTAGCAAGTAAACCGTCAACAGTCAGTTTCTAAAGCCATCACTTCCCTGTTTTCTTTCTTTTTAAGAGTTCAAGACTGCTGTGATGGTTAGTTCGATTTTCCAGATGAACAACTCCATGTATCCTACTTATCTTTTTAGAAAATGTAGTCTGCCTATCCCTTGGGAATGATGCCTGCCAAATTATATATATATATATACAGAAATTCTCTTATGCGGACATCCGGACGTTATTATCGTGCGGACGCTGTGTATTTTGTACTACCCCTTTCTGTTTTCCTGCATGTCTACAATAGGATCCGCACGATAATAATGTGCGGACATCCGGATAAGAGAATAACTGTATATATATATATATATATATATATATATATAGGATTTTGATCTTTCTTTGTCCGTAAAAGACTAGAGAAACCTTCCTGCAAGAGTGCCTTCATTAATTCCTTGTAACATTTAGTTGACTTTTTTCAAAGTCAGGTAGTCACGTGGATTTCCTTGAGAAAAAATCTGCTGACTGGGCTTTCGAAAGAAATGCTAGATTTTTAGGGACTGGGCCCCACTTGATTTTTCACTGATCTGCTTAGTTTGCAACTACCATTAATTTTGGCATTTTTACAACTCTGCCTTTTCAAAAAGCGTGGGTTTATGATGTGAATTGGGCTTCCCTCCTTTTTGGTATTTTTTAAAGCCCAGTCTTTAGCTTCTCCAATTTGTGGGCCTTTCCTTGCGAAAATGGGCTGGCGCTTCTCGATTTCTTTTGGCCCAAACAGTATGATTATAAAATAATCAAGGCTTATTTACACCAATGGCCCCCTGAAACTACAGTTAAATCTCACATTGGCCCCTCAAACTTAAAGGGGCCCACTTACCCCACTTGACCATGGTTTGGTGACCCACTTTGTCCCTTGCCGTCAACTCAATCCAATCTGTTAACTATGATGACGTAGCAGGGGTGTTTTTGTAATTTCATACACATAGATCATTATTCACCATTTGAGGGGTGACGTGGAAAGTGAAGCCCACCTCCACATAGATAAAAATATAATTAAATATTCTAATGATTTAAAACTAAAATAAAACATTAAGAACTTTAGAACTAAAAAAAAAAAATCTCTCTCCCCCCCTATTTCTCTCTCTTTACCCAAACCCCTTCTGGCAGCCATAACCGCCCCTCCTCAAGCCATCCCCCACTCTACCCAAACAACCACCAACCTAGATGGTGGGGAAAATTGCTCCTCTTTTCTGACTAATATTCCAATCACTCCCATCAGCTACATCTCTTACTCACAAACCAAAACTCTCTCTCTGCCTTTGTCTCTCCCATGCTCCTACACCATGGTTATACTCTCAGTCGTATCACCTCCACCGTTGAAAAAGAAAAAAAAACCCAAAAACTAAGAAATCAACATTCTTCTTCAATTACATTTCCAGAAAAACTCATGAGAATTTAACACCAACCAAACAATATATACAAATCCACTGCTGCCCCAAATTTCCGCAATCACCCACAAAATTCCTCTCTCAAACCATGCCCACATCCACCACTCTCACACCTACAAGTTTTTCTTGTCAACCCTTAAGTTGGGTTTTGTAGCAAAGATTGTCCATGAGCATTTCGATTTTGGCGTTGATAGTGACGATCGCCAAGACCAAGTTCTGAAACGTGTTAGCGTCTGCGACCTGATTAAGCCATCGGATCTCCTTGACGTTGTGAAGCCTTCGATGGTGTTGATGGGGCCGTAAGTTGTTGGAAGAGAGAGAGGGGAAGAGAGAGAACGGAAGAGAGATAGAGGGAAAGAGAAAATTAACCAATTTTTTTTAATGTTTTATTTTAATTGTTTTTATTAGTTTTAATAATTAGAATATTTAATTATATCTTTATCTATGTGGAAGTGGGCTCCACTTGCCACATCACCCTTCAATTGGTGGATAATGATTCATGTGTACGAAATTACAAAAAACACCCCTGCCACGTAATCATAGTTAACAGACTTTTGGACGGAGATGACGGCATGGGGCAAAGTGGGTTACCAAACCACAGTTAAGTAGGGTAAATGGGCAACTTTAAGTTTGAAGGGGCAATGTGAGATTTGACCGTAGTTTCAGGGGGCATTAGTGTAAATAAGCATATAATCAATAAATATATATAATTTAATATTTATTTAGTTTTATCAAATTGAATTGAGATGATTGTGAGTAGTTTCATTGAAGGGTTAATTTCAATTTAGTACCCTAAATTCTTACCCTTAAGGAATGTTTGTCCTTGCACTCTCAATTTTAACAATCATGTACCATAATCTTTTTAATTTTTTGCATTTTGGTTATTGGCGTCCAAATTTCAATTAATTGCCATGTGGCAGGACTGCATCCCACTTATTTGCTTCTTTCAATGTCAGTTGAAGGGTATTTTCGAACAATTGCTGCCTCCTGCCCAAACTTGCAAAAAATGAGTCTTTTTTCTAGTACAAGCGATAGTCTAAACTATAGGGAGGAGCTTCTCACATGGATCCTGAGCCTCTGCATTTAGGTTCCATGCATTTACACACATTTCATTAAATCTAAACTACTCAAACAATCTACCCATCCAACACAAGACACATCATCAAAATTTTGGGTCAAGTTTTTTTTTTTT